CGACGGTTGAACAGTGGTTATACCAAAAAGCAATTCACAATGCAAATATGTGTGGAAAGAGAAGAATAGTTGGATTAGCTTTTTTCTATCGCTTTATAAATTCGCTTATAAATCTTGCATAAATCGCTTACAAGAGCTTTTGAAAGAATTATTTAAATAGATCTTAACCCAAAGTCCTGGGTATTTTGCTAAGAATATGAATTAAAAAGTTTTAAAGCGTACAATACATCTTGGTACTATAAAAACAGACTTAGAAGTTATGTCTCAAAGTGGGTGGCGGCATTTAGGTTGTTGATGTCCACGTGCTTCGGTGACCAGTTTGGACCGTGAGCTCGTCTACTCACGTTTACTACAAAGGTGTACGAAATTTGTAGTATATAAAAGAGTTTGAGGACCACTGGTCAGACGACAAAAATCATCATCCATAGTCATCAAACAAGAATATGAGCGAAACGGTTTATCACTACATCGCTATTTGTTAACAAATTGACGATGATGGTTGGCTGGAAGGTTATTGCACTTTTCCGATTTGTGTCGGACATTTGATTAGCAAACAAGAGTTCGTAACGGAACATAATTATAACGTTTTATTCTATTATCGGAAGCGTAAAAACGTTCTCCCGGAGTCTCTGTGTAATTTATTTATTCAAGCGAAAATATTTATTAGTAACCATCTAACTATATATTTCTTATACCTTTAAACGATTCTTGTATATATATAATCTGAATCTCGGAAACGGCTCCAACGATTTTCATAAAATTTAGTATACAGGGGATATCGGGGGCGATAAATCGATCTAGCTACGATTTATTTTCAGAAAATGTTGTTTTATTCGTGTTTTCAATAATCAACTCTTCCCCGACATCTATGGGCGAATAATAATACTATTTTTCTTAATTGAGGGCAACTAACCGCTTTAAAGACACAACAAGATGGCGTTATAAAAAAAAACCGAGCAAAGTTCGGTCATCATCTAGTTACGTAATAATAGGTTACTTAGTTCTTGAAACATCAATTGTTCTACCGTCGGTTAGTCGTTCGTAATTTTGTACCCGAGGGATCGGCTTCAGCCAGAAACTTAATTACTTTATTTAAAACTTAACATGAATTGTGATCAATGTAAGTTAGTGTAACACTAATTAATATAATAACTAATGAAATTAGATAATTTTTTTGCCAATTACATTCGAACAAGAACAAGGAAACAGGAAAATAACAAACGAGTAAGCTGACTTGTATTTCAAAGCACATTGAATATTTCTAAATATGCTCTGTATTGATTCATACGAATAGTTATATTGGTTTTATCTATATATTAATACGTGAAGCAAAAACTTTGTACTCCTTTATACGAAAATCGCACGAACGGGGGAGTATAAAATTTCCTACACATAAAGAGAATATAGAGGAGTCCAGAATGCTATTTTTTTTAATTATGCTTTAAAAATACATTAAATCGATAAAAAAACATTACACACACTACGATTTATTTAACACACACACACATTATGTATATTATACCCTTTTGTTTATTATCAAACCTTTATTATTGCTTAAAGCCTGTGGTCGAATTGAGAATAGGTTAATATTGTTTATCTTTAATATTATTTGTCTATACTGTAGTCTTGGCGAAATCTGTGATTATAGAAGTATAAGTCTTTGACAATAGAACCATAATAATGTTCAAACTTATAATTTCAATTAATTATAGTCGAATTTCGACTACAGAGGGACCACTAGTAAGTAAAATAGTTTTGTGATCACAGCGTTGCGTTTGCCTTGCTTTGTGTTGTTGATCACAGATTAGCGTGGTATGGGCATGTGATGCGCAGAGAGAAGATGCATATGACTAGGAGATGTATGGAAATGGTAGTGCAAGGTAGAGGGGGAAGAGGTCGACCGAAGAAGACATGGATGGAGTGTGTGAATGACGAAATGAGAGAGAGAGGAGCGTGTGTTGAGATGACGGCTGATAGAAGAGAATGGAAGAGAAAAATTAGCTGTGCCGACCCCACCCAGTGGGATAAGGTGGGGAAAAAGAAGAGTTTTGTGATCACTAAGTGGTTTGATTATTGAAATGTAGCAACCAATCAAATATAGATGTTCTGCATTTCTTGCTGTTTAGGGCATATTTCTTAAGGTGTTTATTAATTTTATTATAAAGTGTGGGACCTAAGTACCAAAAGAACCTATGGATAAATTGAGTTTTAAGATGGATCGAGACATTATGATTGCGTCGCCTCAGAACCAAATTAAGGTTGTAAATACAAATGGAATGTTGTTTTAAAATTATTTTATAAATAAATAATTACTGAATTGCACTTTACAATTTTGATAAAGCTGATGTGTAGGGTACAACTTAGATTTAAAAGAGAAAATTTTAATGACGGTCCTCTGGGCTTTCTCTAATAGAAATTGATTCGTTTTGGAAGCCCCAAGAAATAATGCAATACGACAAAATAGACTGACAAAAGGCCTGATAGATTTGTTTAAGTAATTTAAAATCCATATATCCATATATATATAGATAATAAACACCCAGACACAAAGCAAACAAACCTGTTCATCACACGAATGTTAGGCGGATGTGCAACACTCAGGGTCACTAACTATTGAACCACCGAGTCAGTCAAAATACGAATAAACATATATATATACGTTGTTCTAACAGAAATTATAAAACCAACGAACGACTCGTTAATTCATATCCGCAATCGATACGTTTCGACTTCCTGAACAATATTTCAAAGTAAAGGACTCGTGTTATGGCTGTGAATCGCAAACGTAACTTTTCTACTGATGGTATGACCTCTTGTGAGTCCGCACGGGTAGGTACCACCGCCCTGCCTATTTCTGCCGTGAAGCAGTAATGCGTTTCGGTTTGAAGGGTGGGGCAGCAGTTGTAGCTATACTTGAGACCTTAGAACTTATATCTCAAGGTGGGTGGCGCATTTACGTTGTCGATGTCGATGGGCTCCAGTAACTGCTTAACATCAGATGGGTTGTGAGCTCGTCCACCCATTTAAGCAATAAAAAAAAAGCGTATAAAATGAAGACCTTTCGTGAACAGTTTTATGCTGTTTCACGGGAACTATAACAATAACTGTCCGTTTGTCATGAATCGTTTTCGCTTTACAGTGAACGGAAAAGACAGGGCGCGACCGGATATGAAGGGCTCGATGTCCAGCGCGACAACCGACCAAGACTTGTACAATAAATACGGTAATGGAAATTATTCAACGACAAGTCAAACAGGATTTTATTCGCTCGCAATGCTTGTTCGTTTTATACAATTCTGTATGACGAAGTACGAAATAAGTAGGCACTTTACATTTCTCATGAGTCGATGATAAAATTACCAACAAGTACACATCGTTCCAGTAACAGTTTCTAGGGGTATGTTCAAAAGTGCTCAAGACGAAGTTCAAGGCTTATGTCCTTGTGTAGGTTAGTAGTAGTGGTTAGTCGAATAATAAACGTATCCAATTTTACTAATAAATATATAGATGTGGCATTGAAAGTACAACCTTAGCTATTGACATTTCTTGACAATAGATCTGATGATTTTATCTAAAACTTTAGACAGGCCATTATTTTCGCCATTACTACGTAAATTGGAACAGATTTTTTTAATTAACTTCAAAACAGAAGAAATTATCCATCGGACTGAATTTTTTTATAATTTTTTTACGAATTTGATAATATATTTTTTCATTTTAACTTATATGACTTCGTGGAAGAACCAGCTTCCAGTATAAAAATTTTATCAACGTATGACCAGTTGTTTTTGAGTTATCCTTAATAATGCACGTTTAATTGACGTCGAAGACTAATGATATTCTCATTTTAATTTGTTGAAAGTCGCTTTAGTTTTTGCTAAAACTTCGCATTATTGTATTTAAGGTTAAATAACGTCAACTTTTAATTGAGATACCCCGCCTAATTAATTTAAAAAGTCAGGTTATAAAAAAGTTCCATATTGTGTCAGATAGAACAAATGTGTATAATAACATTAGACTATCCCTACAGTCAAGTGGGACGACCCGTATTATTGTCACACACCGTTGACACCGCGCCTCTAAAAAAGAAGCCATGTTTTAACGATCCTTTACTAATTGTATAATTAAATATTATATTAACAAGGAGATACGAAGTATCAATAAATATTGCGTGCCTAAGTAAAGGAATGCATTTTACTCAGAAACCTTTTTATCTTATGAATTGATCTAGATTATTCTAGATGTGATTGAGATATTTTTTCGTTTACATTTTTTGTATCGTCACATTTTCTACTTTATTTAATGTAGCGTAGAATATTGTCTCTAATAATGTTGTCAGAGTTGGTATTATTATTCCAATCAACATCGGGTCTCCCTAACAATTGCTCGCTCCCCCGCATTTTGTTCTAAACCAAGACTCACTGAATGTTAAGTTCAAAAACTGGCATTGATTTTTGGATAAACTATAATAAAAACAATATAATAGACGAAGAAATGCATTTTGAAAATTCTGAATCATTTATACAAAAGTATCATTTCTACAAAAGTATCAAATCATTTATAAAATATATTTATATAAAAGACCTAATTTGATTATTAGGCGCACGTGTTTATAATAATTTTAATAACACTACATTCTTTGAAATTTTCTATTAATAGTTTCTATCGCTAAGTATTAATACCAAAATACCAATTAATCAAACATGTTTTCGTTTATCGATAAGATTAAACATTGCTCTAAATCGAAACGAAAAAGTGTACTTAGCAAGACAAAAGTAGATTTAGTAAATTTCTCGTATACCTTTACGAATTTATTTACTTAGAATCTGTAAATATATCATACATTTTCTCTATAATGCATATTTCCCTATGATTATCCTAAAATTAACACAAATTAAGAGTGTACATGTTATAATTTAACTGCACAAATATTTTTTATATCGGGACAGACATGTGTGTGTGTACATCAAATCTCCGGAGAAAACAAAATATATTCTCACCCGAATGGTTGTAGAACAGAAGCGTCAAACACACTTATAGATAATTAGCTAGATAAACAAGTCACTTTCTTTTCACTGAATGTAAACACTGAAAAATAAAACCAATTCATCGAGAAAGTCCGATCGTAAATACGTCAGTTAGCGGGACGGGCGCGGATGGAACTAGTGAGAATAAAAGTTCATCGACGAGGATCGGAGGGGCGCCGCGGAGCGTCACCATGTGTAGCTGGTAATATCCTAGCAGTTCACGTATGCGTTTGGCATATTCAGCCTTTCTACACGTATGCAGTAGCTTTAAAATGGCAAGATAATTATTGCGGTTCCATCTGTACATATAATATATAAAAATGAATTGCTGTTCGTTAGTCTCGCTAAAACTCGAGAACGGCTGAACCGATTTGGCTAATTATGGTCTTGAATTATTTGTGGAAGTCCAGAAAAGGCTTAAAAGGTAGATAAATATGAAAATGCTCGGAATTAAATAAAAATAGCAATTATGTTTTCCCTTTGATGTATCCCCAGTCGGACGGATTCCTTTCGTTTGTTTTAAGTTTATTTTATACAAAAGTTTAAGTTTTAATTTTAATATTATAATATTTTAATTATCGATTGAGGCACTACGAAGTCTGCCGGGTCAGCTAGTTGTATTATACATTTAAAACGTTGACTGAATAAAATGTATACGATTCTAACAAGTGTGGCACATGAGTAGAGTTTAAAGTTTAAACTCACCGTTGCTCTCATTTCATATTATTTTCAAACATACCGGACCGTTTATTTTTGCTAGAAAACTTTTTTTTTTAATTGAATTAAAAAATTTATTTCAATGTATTGAGACCAAACCTTTTTTTTAAAATAACTGTGTGCACACTGAATCGTACTATAGTGTCTGTCCGGTCTGTCGGCTCTTGCATTTTTACTTAAGCGGGCCGTGAGTTTTGGTCCGTATCTAAACCAACACGAGAAAAGTGCAATTCTATTATATTCATAATGACCCTAATTCATTCATTTCATTGTCCGTTTCATTTGATCGATACAATTGCCTCCCATCAGCAGATCGACTAGAATCAATTCACCGGTAAGTAGATGCAACGTATTTGCCGCTAGATTTCACATTTACATAATAGTGCGTCAATAATTTTCTGGTCGATTTAGTATGATAATAATAAATGAATTGTTTTTTGTTTAACTTTATTTCTTGTTGAAGAAAATCTGTACTGACAAATGGTAAAATTATAGGTAAAATTTAATTAGTTATGAATTTGCAGTCTGCGCAAAATAAAGAATAGGTTGTCTATCCAACTTGAATTTTAGCATTCGCCAGTGATTATTATTTATTTTTCTATAAACAGATAGTTATAAACAAATCAGTCTTTCTTATAGCGAATTTGTATGCGAATGTTTCTTCGAATTACATTGCCCTTCAAGTGTTGATTTGATAAGAAAAAAAATAGTGACATATGCGAATGTTTCTTCGAATTACATTGCCCCTCAAGTGTTGATTTGATAAGAAAAAAAAATAGTGACAAAGTAACAAATACAAACACAATAAACATCTGTTTTATTTTTAAAATAAAAAAAGGTCTACTGTAGCGAAAGGGGTATTATGTATGTGTTTTTGTATGTATATATTTCTATGTAAATTAACGTTTTCAGGGATTGTAACGAGCAATTAAGTTTTGCAGACAGTAATATCCGGTCAGATTGAACATAAATAAAACGAGGCGGTAATTTAATTTCGTTGGGGAATGATAGATCTGAAGGTCCCTGCCTATTGCTTTACCAGCTAACTCTACACGATAACTTTGAACTTATAGTTAGCCTAATGAACGGGAAATCAAACAGCCGGCTGCAAAACGACAGCTGGCTTTGTTTACATTGTCGACTTTCTTTTATTCCGATAAATAGCGTTTTTTTTTTGTGTTCTTTTGTAGAATCCATACTAATATTATAAATATGAAAGTGAGTTTGTTTGTTGATCCTTCTTTCACGTCGAAAAGAACAGCAACGGATGTTTTTGTTAAAGTGATCATTTTAGATCACAAGATTGACATAGGTTATCCTTTATCCCAAAAAAACATTTCCTTTCCACAGGAAATTATGTTTTATTAACTTTACAAAAATTAGGTGATTTCTTCTTTCTTTCACGTTGAGACTTTTCCTTGACTACGCAGTCGAAGCAGTGCGTTAACATCTAGTTGAAATATAACAACATTCATAATTGGAATCCCTTAAATGGTAAAGTACAGAGCTCGCACTTAACACAGACTCGTTGGCAACAGACATTGAGAATGTAGGCCACAGACGCGTGAAGGATAATACTACTTTGAACTTCTCTCGTATTGCAGGAGAACGATCAGCGAATGGCCATGACTGCAGTATTAGCCATATGGTACTTTTGTATAACAGAGTTTAAGTGTTGAAACGCGTGCTATATAAGGCATAGCATAATGATATCAACTATGACCTTGCAAGAATTGAGACGTGGGATGAAGTACTCATAAAAAATAGTTTAAAGCAATATATTGTTTAATTGTACATACTCAGAGTGGTTCTTAACTTAAATTAAAATACATTAGAATTATTACAAAAGAATACATTATCTACACCTGACGTTACCTAACAGCGAACATCTGTGTTAATTGAATATTTTTTTTATTATAGAGCTTACGAGTTCGTCTCTAACGAGATTCAATAATATAAGCCGCGTTATGAATTAACTTGCATTGTGTTTATCTCTCTTTTTAAAGAATTTGTATTTGAACTTTAATAAAACAAAACTATTGCTGTATTGCGTTTCTTTCACAATAAACCGATAGAGCTTCATTAAAACATTTTTCGAATATTAAAAATTTAGAGGCAATGAAATCTAATACCATTCTGTTTTCGAATTGACCTTTCAATGTATAATAATGTTATTGTTTACCTATTTGTTGTAATTTTTTTTTATTGCTTAGATGTGTGGACGACCTCAGCTCACCTGGTGTTAAGTGGTTACTGGAGCCCATAGACATCCACAACGTAAAATGCGCCACACACCTTGAGATATAGTTCTAAGGTCTCAGTATAGTCACAACGGCTGCCCCACCCTTCAGACCGAAACGCATTACTGCTTCACGGCAGAAAAAGGCGGGGCGGTGGTACCTACCCGTGCGGACTCGCAAGAGGTCCTACCGCCAGTAAAAAAATGCCGCAAATCAAAACGATTAGAAAACTTATAAACGGTTACCAATTTCGAAACTTAAAAGTTTTGTAATATGGTTAATAGTTTTTACATCGAATAATAATACCATTGCAATCAGTCTTAACAGTTGTGAGTCACGGCGAACATGTAACCGTGGCCGATGCACTGGCACGTTATACTCGTGCTAGCAAAGGTACGACGAGATTGCATCCGTGTCACTACATAATCGTGTAATAAAAATGAAACCCGCAAAATTATAATTTGCGTAATTACTGGTGGTAGGACCTCTTGTGAGTCCGCGCGGGTAGGTACTACCGCCCTGCCTATTTCTGCCGTGAAGCAGTAATGCGTTTGGGTTTGAAGGGCGGGGCAGCCGTTGTAACTATACTTGAGACCTTAGAACTTGTATCTCAAGGTGGGTGGCGCATTTACGTTGTGGATGTCTATGGGCTCCAGTAACCACTTAACACCAGGTGGGCTGTGAGCTCGTCCACCCATCTAAGCAATAAAAAAAAAAAAAANATTGCATCCGTGTCACTACATAATCGTGTAATAAAAATGAAACCCGCAAAATTATAATTTGCGTAATTACTGGTGGTAGGACCTCTTGTGAGTCCGCGCGGGTAGGTACTACCGCCCTGCCTATTTCTGCCGTGAAGCAGTAATGCGTTTGGGTTTGAAGGGCGGGGCAGCCGTTGTAACTATACTTGAGACCTTAGAACTTGTATCTCAAGGTGGGTGGCGCATTTACGTTGTGGATGTCTATGGGCTCCAGTAACCACTTAACACCAGGTGGGCTGTGAGCTCGTCCACCCATCTAAGCAATAAAAAAAAAAAAAACATGACGATTAGGCTCGAACGAGCTTGGGCATTGTAGCTGCAAGTAGTTGCAACCAGATCCCGTGTGCAGGGTGGCGGAACCGCCTCTATACATCGACACGAGTATCAAGTTAAAACCATTGATCCATTGATGNTGACGATTAGGCTCGAACGAGCTTGGGCATTGTAGCTGCAAGTAGTTGCAACCAGATCCCGTGTGCAGGGTGGCGGAACCGCCTCTATACATCGACACGAGTATCAAGTTAAAACCATTGATCCATTGATGTCGATGGATTATTTCACATTAATATTTACTGGTTATGGGTTTATTAGGTTTCTTTAGATGTAAGTTTGACATATTCTAGCTATATACTCGTATATGTTCATGATATATACGTGATATTAAGCCAATTCCATGAAAGCTTAATCGAAGTATACTACTTTTAAATGTCAAGGAAGAAAATATACGAACATCTTTACAATTGGTTAAATGACGATAAAATAATTTCGATAATATGTATTTATGAGTCAGATACTACATATTATATTGAGTCAATCAAGTGGTATATTAAGAAAGAAACTTTTAATTACAATTTATTTGCCTTTAAACTTTTTAATTTACACCAAACACGAATAATTTGACTGGTGGTAGGACCTCTTGTGAGTCCGCGCGGGTAGGTACCACCGCCCTGCCTATTTCTGCCGTGAAGCAGTAATGCGTTTCGGTTTGAAGGGCGGGGCAGCCGTTGTAACTATACTTGAGACCTTAGAACTTATATCTCAAGGTGGGTGGCGCATTTACGTCGTAGATGTCTATGGGCTCCAGTAACCCTTAACACCAGGTGGGCTGTGAGGTCGTTCGCACCACTAGGCAATAAAAAAAAAATTTATGAGTTAGATACTACATATATTGGGTCAATCAAGTGGTATATTAAGAAAGAAACTTTCAATTGTTTATTTGTCTTTAAACTTTTTAATCTACACCTATCTACAGCTATTGAGGTTCCGAAATAGAAAACCGTCCTACATAATATCACAAACAGCACTAATTCGGCGACTTCCTGGAGCGTGTAAATGTGCCTATTTTGACTGGCCGAAAACGATGTCACCAATAAATATGTCCAGGCGGGCGTTTATCTAAAAGGAG